TGGGTCCACAGGCTGACACTCAATCCACTAAGCCAAACCAGCTAGGGCCCAGGTGTGCTTTTTCAGGATCATGGTCTCCACTGATTGGTCATTGAGAGGGCAGGGGGTCATTTGTTAATGCATCTGGTCCTGAGGCAACAAAGGCATCTGGTTTTGCTGCTTTTCTTGTCCTGGAGCTAAAATACAACTGAGACCTTTTCAGTTCAAGGATCACTGATAGATAGGTGACCCTATCTTTTAAAATAAAAAATTGACTTACTAGTATAATTTAATTTTTAAAACTTAATTCCCTTCATAAAAAGCTATCCTATCTAATAAAGAGGGAATATGCTAATTGACCGTCATGCCCCCACAAGATGGTGGCACCCACAACCATAAGATGGCGGCGCTCAGTCTCATCAGCCCTGCTGGGGTGGCAGGTGTGCAGCACAGCTTGGCCTGCCCCCTAGCAGGTCCGGCTGCTCCATGCGCCTGCCTCCAGAGTCACCCAGCCAATGCCCGAGGCACAGGCAAGCCTTGGATGGCGGCTGCCCAGCCTCCCAAGGCCATCCGAGGCTCAGGTAACCAGGGCTGGCCGAGGCTTGTGCTACCGGTAGTGGCAGCAGCAGAGGTATGATGGAGGTGTCACCTTCCCCTGATCACTGGGTTGCCTCCCGCTCCTGAGGGCTCCCAGACTGTGAGAGGGGGCAGGCTGGGCTGAGGGACCCTCCCCTCCAGTGCATGAATTTTCATGCACTGGGCCTCTAGTATGTTATATATTTATATTTTCCAAACTAAACAATAAAATCAATTGTATTTTAAAATTAGAGGCCTGGTGCACAAATTTGTGCATGGGTGGGGTCCGGCTGACCCTCCCCAATGAGGGCCAATCGGGGCAGGGCTGGCAGGGGAAAGGGACATGGGATGTTGGCTAGCAGACCCTGCCCCCGATCGAGGTGGGGGAGCTGATCAGGGGGCTAGGCTGGCCGGGCCATGGGAGGTTGAGGGGGGTCGATCAGGGCCCCGATCAGGCTGGTTGGCTGCTGCAGTGCACATCATAGTGACTGGTCGTTCCAGTCATTCCATTGTTCCAGTCGCTTGGTGTTTATATATGTAGATTATTCTAAACATAAACAATATTCTTGAAATATTTGGAGGCAATTTGGAGCTGTTCCAGCGAGAACTGAGAATCATTGCTTTAGATCAGGAGTGTGTTGCTTGTGGATACTTACACATATTTATCTAAATAGGTTGCTTCTTGTTATTTTACATATAAAGTAGTTCAGATATCAATTGCTATGTAACAAATATCACCAAAATTTAGTGGCTTAAACAACAGCTTAGTATCTTCCTGGTTCTGTTGGCTGACTGGGCATAGCTGGGCTTTGCTTGAGGTCTCTCGTGCAGCCGCAGTCAGGAAGCAGCGGGGAGCTGCAGACATCTGAAGGCTTTACTGGGCTGGAAGATACCACAGTGGGTGTGGGCTTGGGCTGGGATTGGCTGGAACAACTGAGGGCTGGCTGGGTGGCCATTCCACCTGGTGAGCTTGGGCGTCCTCATAACGGTAGCCCTTGGGAAACATTTTCTCCCACTCAGATCTTCTTTTCTGATAGGTTTGCTGATGCAGCCCAAGCAACTGCTGTGAAAGAGCCGAGATGCCAACACAGCTGCGGGGACGTGAGTGAATCTGCCAGGATGCCACCAACAAGCGGTGCAGACATGCGCTTTCCTGGCACGGCCCCTCTGCATGAAATTTGTGATGAAATGAGGGAAAGGGTGGGGATGTTTTATAATGTATTTGAAAAATGATGCTTTAGTTATAATATTTAGAAGAAATTATGCACGTGAAAATATTTTTGCTTTGACCAAATGAATTACATACACACCCTATCATGTGATGATAGATACTCTCAGTGTGATCTTGACCCAAAGATGAAATAACCATTATTGAATTTTTTAGACACATAGTGTTCCTATACAAACACATTGTCATTTTTATTTACTTATCTCAAAGGCTTTTTCCGGAACCTCCAGGTTGGTTCCAATATTGAAAGGAATTTTTAAGGGTAAAATAGGCAGGTTTAGGAAATCTTAGGAATTAAGGGGTCCGTGGAAAACGCACAGGGCTACAGAGCAGCAGAAGATACATTTCCATAAGATAAGGGAGCTGGGACCTGCAGAAGGTACATTTCCATAGAAGAAGGGAGCTGGGAGCTGCAGAAGGTACATTTCCATAGAATAAAGGAGCTGGGAGCTGCAGAAGGTATACATTTACAGAATAAAGGGAAGGAAGCCCCTCATTCAGAGAGGAAGAGGAGAGCCCAAAGGGAATAGGAAAACAATAAGGGAGAAGAAGAGGAGAACTTCACACACCTCACCTGAGGTTTGAGCTCTGAAGTTGCTATAATGACCAAATTAGAGGGAATAGTGACCAGTCAGAGGGGATGCCAGGGCACAAAGAACTGCAGCCTTTATAAACCGTGGAAAAGAGGGACTTAGTGGGACTCTCCCTCCCCATGTGGGAGTCTGTGCTTGTTTCTCAATAAATTTCCATCTTTTGCTATACCACCTTCTATCCGTGGTTTCATTCTTCGACTTCACGGGACAAGAACCCGAAAGAACACCACACGTTCCAGTTTAATTTTCCCATTTCAATATGAGCAACAAGTATAACTGTGGTGGATTGACTTGTGTTTAATAATAATGACAACAAAAAGCAAGGAGAATTTTTTAAGTGACAGGATGATATCTGAAGGTTGGTTTCTGCATTTACAACTGAACAAGATGACTAGACTAGTTTTCGTTGTTTCTGCGAAGGTATTTGTTCTGCTCTGTGCTTCAGGTAAGGCCATGATCTATTTTTACGTTACTGTGGATCATATGTACTTCTGAAGTGCTATGTAGCCCTCTAGAGTTTAGCAGGAGCCAGTGCAGCTACTGCTGAAACATCCCCTGCCTTGAAGATGTTTTGAATGATCACTTCCTGTGAACGCTCCCTATGCTATTTTTATTTTTAATCCTCACCAGAGTGAGGGTGGAGGGGCTCAATGGGGGGAGGGGCGGGGGACGGGGACATTTGTAATACTTTCAACAATGAAGATACATTTCAAAAAAGAAACAATTGGCAAAAAATGTGCAAGAATTAGTCATGAAGGAAATGCAAATTAAAATCACCATGAGATACTATTGCACACTTACCAGACTGGTTAAAATGTAAAAAAGTGACAATTCTGAGGGTTGATGAGGATATGGAGAAACTAGGAGAAACTAGACATTGCTGGTGGAAATGTAACATGATAGAGCTAGTTTGGAAAACAGTTTTTTATAAAGTTAAACATATACTTACCAGATGGCCCAGCATTCCCACTCTTAGGTATCTACCCAAGAGACATAGAAAGATATGCCTACAGAAGGACGTGCATGAGATTGTTCATGGAGGCTTTATTCACAATAGCCCCAAACTGGAAACAACGCTACCCATTAACTAATGACGGGTAAACAAAGTGTGGTACCTCTGTTACAGGCAGCCAGAGACCCCTGAAAAGGTATCATCAGACAACCCCCTCAGTTGAAGGGAGAGGGCTGTCTCCTTCTCAATTCTTATCTTCTAGTATAAACGAATTTAAAGGAGAGACCCTGATTGTATTATGACAAAGCCATCTTATTAAAGCAAGCAAATTTATTAAAGAAGCAAGGCAAGCAAGTCTGTTTCAGTTCATTGGGCTCAGAGGGCAGACAGGCTTTTCCAGCTAACCCCGGAAAGCAAATGCCATGTGCGGGTTTGAGGAGTTCTATACTCTATGGGTTTCAAAAATTCCTCTGTTGAATATCTTGGTATAGATTAATTTTCAAGGTCCCTTTTTACTTCTCAGAATTCATGAGAAGCACCTGGCAATTTTATCTTGCCAAGCCTTGAGACTGCTGGCTTCTCTGTTAGTGAGTTAAACAAAAAAAATAATAATAAAACTTCCTTTTGTTCCTTTTCCCTTCCTCCCTGTTTTTCTGCATTCTCTCATTAGGGAGGTTTTTAACCATTTGCTCTCAAGTGTCCTTGGCTGGGAAGATAAAGGCTTGTTATTTACAAGCCAGCTGTAAATTGCCCACACTGTTGGCCTTGTTTTAACTTCTTTATCTCAGTTTCCCTATTCATCTTGCTCTGGAATTTTCCTAGCTTTTCACTGCCCTGCAACATATCCATTCGATGGAGTGTTACTCAGCAATGCAAGGGAATAAAGTGCTCTGTTACATATGTAGAAAAATCTTAAAACTTTATGCTAAGTGAAAGAGTCAGACATATAAGACTACATATTGTATGATTCCACTTACTAGAGAAAATATTTGGAAAAGATAAAACTATTGAGATAGAAAGCAGATTATTGCTTGCTGAGAGCTGGAGATTGATTGCAAGCAGTCATGAGGGATTTCTTAGAATGATAGAAGTATTCCAAAAACTGAATTGTGGTGATGTTTGCACAAATCTATAAATTTACTAGAACTCATGAACTGTACACCTATAATGGATGCACTAATAGTATGTAAAGTTGATATTAATGAAGCCAAGAAACATTTTTAACAATGTGTTCATGCTCTATCTTTTTAACTGAGCATTTAGTCAATTTACTGTTTTTGTAATTACAGATATACTAGAGGCCCAATGCACAAAATTTGTGCACTGGGGTGGTGGGGGAGGGTTGTTGTCCCTCAACCCGGCCTGCACCCTCTCTGGGACCCCTTGGGAGATGTCTGACTGCCAGTTTAGGGCAGGCTGGGCTGAGGGACCCTCCCCAAGTGCATGAATTTTGTGCACCGGGCCTCTAGTTTACTCTAAAAGTCCCTGCTAATGTTACAATTTTAAACCCATAAGACATTTGATTATTTTATACAGTCAATATTTATTTAATTATAGACATATACATTTTTTGTTGTCATTCATATATATATATATGTATATAGTACAGAGAGGAAGGGAGAGGGAGAGAGATAGAAACATCAATAGTGAGAGAAAATCAATAATTGGCTGCCTCCTGTACACCCACACTGGAGATTGAGTCCGCACCCTGGGAACATGCCCTGACCGGGAATCGAACTGTGAGCTCCTGATTCATAGGTTGACGCTCTTGTTGTCATTCTTTTATTATATCTCGGACTCTTCATTCGTTATTCATTTCCCAAAAACCTTTCTTTTTAATAATGAAAGGTGACATAATGCAGTGGTTAAGAGCGTGGCTTCTGAAGCAAAGCCGCTTTGTTTTTTTAAACTGCTTTTTATTTCTGCTTTACAAAATAGAGAAACTATGGCAGAAGGACACCTAGTAACATCTAGTAAGTTGCAGAGGCAGGATTTTAACCCACTAAGCTCTTATATTTAAACTCAACATCATCCCTTCCACCGTGGAGAGCTTCTATAACCCCTGATCTAAGAAATCTGTCGGTGGCACAGCAGACCAGAGCACTTCTCCACTGTCAGCAAAAAAATGTACAGGTTCAAAGTCTTCTCACACCTGAGGTTCATGAAGTTCATACAATTCCTCTGAAAATATTAATTTTATAAGGAAGTCACAGGTGACTTGAAATTCAGCTTTATGAATGCTTGTAGGTCATTGGAACAGTCTTGCAAATGAATAGGACAAGACTCCTTCATAGATACCCAGTTCTGTCTGGACTCCCTCCACCATGCTGCATTTAGTTCTGGGCAAACCAAGAGCAGACCTTTGCTCTGCTTTGCAAAGCCAATCATTGAATTTCCCCAAATATAAAGTCATTTAGATATTGTACTATGGAATTATTAAATGCTAGATAGATTGTGAAATCATCTCTGATGGAGAGGGTCCTTTCAGAAGTGAGGTTAACACAGAACAGTCCTCTAGACCTTCCAGGTTGTCTACTATCTTTATAAGTCTTTCTACTGCATCACAGGACAGCATCCCGGAGGCATTGGCTCTGAACTTGGCCTCTAGGTCCTTCTGGCTCAGTGGCTTCCTCCAGTGACCATAGAAGGTATCCGAGCGCTCCGTGAAGGTGGCTCCATCCTTGAGGGTGATGCTTATCTCACAGTATAGTGTGTTGAAGTTTGGCAGGTTGTCCTGAGGATGCTCCAGCTCCACCTTGCAAAGTAACTCTCTCACCTGCGGCCTGTTGATCTGGTGTTTGTGGAATGATGAAACCGTGAGGCCGCCATCGAGCAGCATGGCACAGGCCACATACTGGAAGGAGTGACGGGCTTCATGCTCCGAGTCTGGGAAAGGCCGGTTTACATACTGGACATCTGGAATTCTGAGCACAATTCTCTCAATGTGGTCAATGGGACACATGGCTCTGTCTGTTACAATGTGCTTCCTCACGGATGCAGCGGCGTCTGCCACCCAGTGGGTGGCCAGATGTGCAGGGAAACTCTTGAAAGCCACATCCTGCTGGTCCAGGAGCCAAGTGTAAGAATCTAGGTTTGGAAGGACTTTGGGGGAGTAGTTGGTATAGAAGGCCCCGAATCCAGTCTGCGTGTCCAAGACCTGCTTGTTTCCCTGGAGACCCAGCACTGCCAGAAAAACAGCTTCTATCCCATGCCTGGCAGCATTGCCCATATGAAGAGGCTTGGTCTGAGTGGCGGCATTTGCCATGGGTGCCCCGGCATGAGAAACGGCAATAGCCAAGGCCTTTTGGCAGTTTGTCATGCTGAGCCCTAAAATCTTGGATGCAGCAGCAGCACTACCCAAAGTTCCTACCACCGACGGGGGATGGAATCTGAAAAGCAAAAAGGCAGTATTAGAGATTTACAAACCTCAACCACCAGGAGGCAGTATAGTATAGAGATCAGGAACTTAGATCATGGGGCTATATGCCTGGGTTCAAATCTCGGCTCTTCCACTTACTAGCTGAGTGATCTTGGGGAAAGTTATTCAACTTCTCTGTACTGTTTTCTCTTACTAAAATGGCAATAATAATAGTATCTACCTTACAGGGTTTTGTGAGTTTTGAATGGATTCACATGCTTACAACAGTGCCGGAGACAGTAAATTCTTTATAAATGGTACTTTTATAATTATTGTAGAAAGGTGAAAGTTGTTGATTGCTGAAAGATCATGTAAGTAACTATAAAAATTAAAGGCCTTTTAGAAACTGTGAAAGTTCACTCAGTATTCCAATTTACACCTTTCCTAGCAGGCTGGACCAAGTGACAAGATAAATATTGTATTGAACCATATGATACAGCCCGCATTTGACCTTTTTTGCCCTATGGCTTGAACAGTCAGGTTTGGGATATTCTGTGTGTTCTCATTAGTCTGAAGAACCCGAACAAATATCAAAGTAGATTCTGCTTTGATGAGATCAGGAATATTCAGGGTACCCACAGGTCCTGGATGATGCTCTAAACCCAAAGGGGAATTTTCATGAGCACTTCTGAAGTCCTATCTTTGTATATATAGTTTGATATGTGACTGGTGACATGACTTATCTGCCAGCACTAATATTAACATCTTCAGTTGAGCCACACTTTATGCCAGAAAGCTCTACAGAAGTAACGATTCATAGATGAAAGGGAATATGACTGTCTCTTCGTGGGGCAAATATTTTCCATACCTTTTCGGTATGTCATTGGCGTCCTTGGAAAAATTCATTAGTCGGCCTTGCACTTCAATCCCAACATTGAAAGCAAGCAGAAGGTCAAGACCAGAAAACTTTGGACTTGGAGGTAGGGCTTCTGATAAAGCCATGAGGACAGGAAGGACAGCTCCAGAAGGGTGGGTGGCAGGATACCACGTGTCATCAAAATCCATTGAGTGAATCTATGAAGGCAGACACACAAACAACAACCAAAACCAAAATGTATTTCTCTGAATGCAATGGCTTTTGGACCAGTAAGCATTTAGTTTAGTAATAGCCTTGTTGGATGTGAGATTTTAGATCTGATTCCTGAAAATAAAACCTATGAACAGGCTGTGATTCTTGATCACATAGCTGGGCATTTGACAGACTGTCCTCTGTCAAAAGCAGGCAGTGCCTTGAGGAGCAGCTAGTGAGCCCCAAGGAACTCGAGTCTTACCCAGGTGACCAGAGCTCTCTGCCATAGCCCCTTAAAAGATCTATATTTCCCTTATAAACAAAGCAGTGGGATTAGGTGGTTGCTTCATCCTTCCCTCCCCTACTTCCTCCTCCACCCTTCAAGAAAGTTGCACTAAAATTTTAATGTCATTTATTCCATGTCAGGCCATATATTTGTGTACTTTTTATTATGAAATAATTTTAGACTTATGGAGAAGTTGCAAGAACTTTTGAACCAAGATTATATACTAAGCTATATTTGAAAATCATTATTTTCTGCTATGAGGTTTTAGTCCTCTTTAACCCCGCTATTTACTTTTTTCTTATATGAAATAGTAATAACCAGAAGTTCATTTAAAATAGATTTTTATGTTTATTGGATGTGTCCGGTGCACTTTCTACTGCTTACTGGACATTTATTCCTTGGATGCACCATTGGGTTTGACTTTCAATATTCTGAGCTACTATCCCCTCAAACCATAAATATATCTCAAAAACCCAACATATTCACGTCCAAATTATATCTTCTAGAAAGCATAAAAATTGTCTTTTAGACAAGAAATGCTGATATTTGTTTCAGAAAATAAAGATATCATATAGCCATTATTTCTTTTTCAGTAAATATTTGTTGAATGAATCAATTAATGAATAAATAAATAAAAGGCTGGTTACTGGATAGAAAGTGGTACTCAAGAAATTGAGTCTGGATATTGGGTTTTATATTCTTTGCTATATACATTCAGAGTTTAGAGTTTGAGCTACCTCAAACTGAGATTACTATATAGGAAGGAGGGCAGTCCATGTCATCTCTATGAATTTCAATGATGTCATTAGTAAAATATGGAAATTTAGCAATTTCTGAGATATTTCCTGACTCTGAAAATTATTGTATTTGTCTAACAGTGGAAAAGACATGGAAATCTCCTTACAGCCACACCGTTGACAAAAGCAGCATATGTCGGTGGGAGTCTCAAGGTTGGCCGCCCCCAAACAGTGCTGGATACATTGGAACTGTAGATCTGGAACAAAAGATATAGTGTGTGAACACAGCATGCCAAACCCCCATTGCAGGAGTCATTCTTCATCTTTGGAGGCATTACATTAATAGTCCTTAATTGAACCCTTTGTGCTATGTTAAATCAAAGCCTTAATCATTAGATTCTTCTCTTCCTTGTAGGACAATACATAACTTTCTCCGTTGAAGTGAGAAGAGATATTGTTGCTTGACCCAGACCATGATTCATAAGTGCTCTAGGGAGTAGAGTCTGAATTTACTCTTATTTACTCCTTGTGGGTGAGTACTAGGAAAAGTGAGCTAACTGCCGATACCAAGCACATCCTCTGGAGGGTGGATGCTACGTCTTCCCCCCACACACCCCTCTCTGCTCAGAGTGCTGGCCCAGCCTTTCCCCCAGAGACTCTCAAAGTCTTTGCATGAAGAAATCATCTGGGGTAGGTACTATTGCTTCTAAGACTCTCAGATAAAAAACGCTTTCAGTCATAATAAAAATATGAGCTATTACTAGTGTTAAGAATGGTAAAGCCAGTGACTTAGTGAAATATATGGGTTAATATTAAAACTCAGATAATAGAACATAGAAAAGCATAACACTATATACAACAATGCTGTATACACCAAGCAGTATCCCTAACACGAGGGGCAGAGCAGTAGAACACACACACAGCTCTGGTACACTCACGGGTACACCCATAAGCAGGCATGTGTGCACATTGGCTTTTACTTCTAAAGCAGGCATGAACTTACTTTACTATATTCGTTGGCTTTGTGAAACACTTCTGTACTGGTTCCCAGGAATCCAACGCCCAGCGTATCCAGAATCATCCTCTTGCTCCTCTGAATAACATGATCTGTCAGGTGTCCCACTTTCAAGCCATGGATCACTTTGGCAAAGCTTTCTGTGACGGACTTAAAAGGGAAGAGGGTTAGAACAGCGATACACTCACTGTGTATCTGCATACGTCTTTTCTAGATGAAAACTCAAGATACTTTTATGTAAAGAGTTTATTCCACTAGAGAGAACCCAATTGATCAAATTAAGTTTAATTTCTAAAAAATGAAACTAGACCACCAACTTACACCTTACACAAGAATAAATGCAAAATGGATAAAAGATTAAATGTAAGTCAGAAATCATAAAAATCCTAGAGAAAAACATAGGCAATAAAATCTCAGCCATCTCTGGCAGCAATATTTTGCCAATATGTCTCCAATGGCAAGGGAAACTGAGGAAAGATAAACAAATGGGACTACATCAAACAAAAAAAGCTTCTGCAAAGCAAAAGGAAACATCAACAAAATAAAAAGGGAACCCAATGTATGGGAGAACATATTCACCAATGATACATCCGATAAGGGGTTAATTTCCAAAATACATAAAAAACTTATATAACTGAATACCAGGAAGACAATCCAGTAAAAACATGGGCAAAGGCCCTAAATAGATACTTTTTGAAGTATCCATCTTATATAAAAACTGTTGTTTGAAATTTTAACCCTGATTGTATGACTTCTGTCTTAAATAATAAGGAAAATAAGACTACTCCCATTCCAGAGAGGCCGTAAACTATGCCCCAGACAGAGGTGTCAGTGCTGACACCCAGACAGTTGCCAGGCCTTGAGATATAGTCTCATGGCCCCTTCCCAGCACACAGGCCTTCTTTCTCCAAAGGCCCGGAAGTCTCATTCCAAATTTGGGAGACAAAGGACTGGAAAAAGCATAAATAAAGAGAGTTTCCTCCATATTGGGGCCCAGAATTTGAAAGAAACATTTTTCTCTGGGCCTGCACAAAATTTAATAATAAAATGTAACTCCTGTAGTCAGCACTGCAGTTCAGCCTCTGCTTTGGCAGGGTGCTGTAACTGTAGTCACTGGCCAGATTAATAAAGGCTCCTAAATTTTGATCTGAGTCCCTGGTGGTCGCCTCTGCGGGTCACCCCATTACACTTTTCTAAAGAGAACATACAGATGGCCAATAGACATATGAAAAAATATTCTAGGTCATTAAATTATCAGAGAGATGCAAATAAAAACTACAATGAAGTACTACCCCACACTTGCTAGAATGGCTACCATGAACAAATCAACAAACAAATGTCAGCATGGATGTGGAGAAAAGGGAACCTTCATGCACTGCTGGTGGGAATGCAGACTTGTGCAACCACTGTGGAAAACAGTATGGAGCTTCCTCAAAAAATTAAAAATGGAACTGTCTGTTGACCCAGCGATTCCACCTCTGCAGTATATCCTAAGAATCCTGAAATAGGAATCAGAAAGAATCTACTGTGGTTGCAGGTGCCTCCCTGGCCTGGGCCCTGGTCAGAGCTCCTCTGGCAGCTAAGGAAGAGGCCATGAGGAAATAGACATGCAGCTGCTCAGCTGTCTATAGACTGGGTGCCCATCTATTTCTAAAATATTATTTTGGTCTTTTTGACTTTCTCCTGATATTTACATCTCTTTTTAGTAAAATACTGTGATAATGTATAAATTAAGACAAAATATGCAGTCTTAATAAATATTTCACAAGTTCTTGCTATGTGTCTGGCATTGTGCTAAGGTCTCTAGAATAGCAAACTGAAATGTTATGGTTCTTTCTGTAGAAATCTTATCTTCTCTGGGGGACTAAAGACAGTAAACATATCATTATAAATACAATCTGGCAAAGCCAATGTTAACATACACAAAACTAGGAGGTTAAAATTCAATGAACGTATAATGATTCATTTTCTTCCTAACCTTATACAGCAGACGTAAGTCTGTCATTGGTAAAACATTGCTAAAAAAAACCAAGGTGTAGTTAATTAGATATCCCAGAGGCTACGAGAAACAGTAAAATGCCATTTTTGAAGTAGAAGCAGGTGGCTCTTCAAGGGAGAGGAAATTGAGACAATAAGAGGTAAGCTAGAAAACCAATTTAAATTAGCCACATAAAATAGAACAATACCTTGAGCTTCATGGTCTAAAGAAGAGGTTTATCTCAGGAGTGAATCCAAGGAGTAATTCCTTTTCTGTGTGATTGCCTTTTATACCCGTCACTCCTCTCAAACCCAACCTCTTTCTCTTTGTTCTAACCTTAAAAATTTGTACCATTTCAACACTTTCCACTTAAACTCATTTTGAGGAACCAGAGGTTTCCAGGGAGATAATGAATGACCTAGGTCATGCCTGATCACAAAGAAGAATAGTAACTCTGATGCAATCAAGTCTCCACGTAATAGGGAAATGATTAACTGGATACCAGCTGTGTGGGCCAGCACATAGCTCCTGCTGTTTCCCTCCCTGCCTCCCTTTAAAACTCTTCTCCTTGGTTCAGAACTTCAGAGATGGTTTTTGGACGTTAGTCCACCATATTTCCAGGCTGCTGGCTTCCTGAATAAAGCAACCTTTCCTTTCCACCCAACACTTGTCTCTCAAGTATTGACTTTCAAGCAGTGAGCAGCTGGGGTTTTCAGTAACAATTTGTCAAAATTAGGAAAAATTCATTCCTTTATGTAAGTATTACATTTCTAAAAAGTTATCCTAAGAATATAAACATGGATGTATGGAAATTTGGGCTAAAAATAAAATTTATAGCCTTGCTTCTTATTTAGTTAAAAATGAAACAGTTTCTTCTCAAGGTGATGGAGCAGGTGAATGCTGCACTCACTTCCTCCCATGACTGCATGCAAATTAAAACTAAGTTATAGAACAGTTAACCTGGATAGTTGACTAGCTGAACAGAAGTCCTATAACTAAGGATATAAAGAAGAAGCCATGTCAAGACTGGTAGGAAGGGCAGAGACTTGAAACAGGCTGGCCCTGCACCTAAGTGTGACAGTGGAGAGTCTAGAGCAGCCGTGGGCAAACTACGGCCCGCGGGCTGGATCCGGCCTGTTTGAAATGAATAAAACTAAAAAAAAAAAAAAGACCGTACCCTTTTATGTAATGATGTTTACTTTGGATTTATATTAGTTCACACAAACACTCCATCCATGCTTTTGTTCCGGCCCTCTGGTCCAGTTTAAGAACCCACTGTGGCCCTCGAGTCAAAAAGTTTGCCCACCCCTGGTCTAGAGCAATGGTTCTCAACCTGTGGGTCATGACCCCTTTGGCAGTTGAATGACCCTTTCACAAGGGTTGCCTAAGACCATCCTGCATATCAGATATTTACATTATGATTCATAACAGTTATGAAGTAGCAACGAAAATAATTTTATGGTTGGGTCACAACATGAGGAACTGTATTTAAAGGGCCACAAGGTTGAGAACCACTGGTCTAGAGGGATATCTCAGCTGTAGAGGTCCCCCTTGAGGAACAAGGAGTCTCAGTCCCATGCTGGGCTCCTCATCCTGGAACACTGGTGTAGGAAGAGGAGTTCACATAATTTCTGCCTGTGAAATGTCAGGTAGGATAGAAGGCTGCTGGAAACCTCTTAAAGGGTCAGTGCAAACACTCTGGCTGGCAGGCACACACTTTGGGATCTAGCAGAGGGATAGTGGCTTGGGTCAGGAGGTGGCGGAGACATCTAGGGAGAAACTGAGTTGTGCGGCTTTGGGTGAGGGCTGGAGGAACAGCTGCCATTGTTCCTGTCTCAAGCCCTTGCCTCAACACGACCAAACCTGGATCTGTATCAGTCTGGTGAACTCTATTAGCTCCACCCTGAAAACTCCCTGAGATTCAGCCCAACATCCAGGCTGGTCTCAGGGTGCCTTTGGCCAACACGACCAAACCTGGATCTGTATCAGCCTGGTGAACTCTATTAGCTCCACCCTGAAAACTCCCTGAGATTCAGCCCAACATCCAGGCTGGTCTCAGGGTGCAATAGGCACCACGATGAAGATCAGAGCTTATTATACTTAGTGTTTTATACACACCAGTTCCCCCAGTAAGTGCAAATTTAACAAAATTTAGACATGTCATATGTTCAAAATGCTCATGACAAACAATCATTTTGCATTCCTGCAAATAAAATTGTTTTATACTGTAAGCTGGAGGTGAGTGTAACTTATTTTTGTAATAAAGTTTTTATTTTTTTATGTGTCATTAATATAAATGTGTGTTAGTATACAGATATTCTGGTTTAAACACTTAGAATTACACACATTTCAGTATGTTTATTTGTACTTACATAATTTTAGAATAGTGGCTGCCAATAGCCTGTAGGTTTCACATTAACTGGTTTTTTTATGTTATCTTAATAAACCATTTTAGTATGTTGTAAAAACAAAACAAAACAAAACAAAAAAACCCCAAAACCTACCTCAGGCCTGGTACTGGTGACAGTCAGCCTTGGTTTGCAAAGTGGCCCCTCTCACCTGCATCCAGGCCTAGGACAGGCAGCTACCAAATGCATATTGCTTTATAGCTCCCAATGGGTAGCCCCAGGCCAGTCACAAGCAACATTTGACATGACCTGCGTTGGAGTTCCTCTCAAGAGGCCTCAGAACCAACACACCCAATGGCTGGATTTAGACCACAAGAGAACATTATGCAATTAGCTATACAAGTGGCACACCCAAAGCAATATCTCAGAAATCATGGATCCTACTGGGGCAAATCCCATTCTGGAGCCCCCTCCCCACCACCGCCCCCCCTACACACACACACACACACACACACACACACACACACACACACACAGCAATTCGTATACTGTTGTTGTGGCCAATTCGCACAGCCAGCCAGACAGAGGGTCAATCTCCCCAACTGATGTGCCAACAGCAATCAGAGCTCAACAGGAGGTCACACACAACCAACACAAGGGACACTCTTGGAGCAGCTGGCTCAGGTAATCAGGGAGACAAAATCCATATTATTTCACTTATATGTGAAATCTAAAGAACAAAATAAACAAAACAGAAATAGACTCATAGATACAGAGAACAAAACTGAAGGTTGCCAGATGGGAAGGTGGATGGGGAATTGGGTGAAAAAGGTGAAAGAATTAAGAAGTAAAAAATTGATAGTTACAGAATTGTCATGGGGATATATGGTATAGTATATAGAATATAGTCAGTAATATTTTAATAACTATGTATGGTGCCAGGTGGACGCTTGAATTATTGGGAAGATCACTTCATCAATTATATAATTATCTAACCACTATATGTACACCTGAAACTAATATAAAATAACATTGAATGTCAACTGTAATTGAAAAATAAAATTTTAAAAGCTTAAAAATGTAAACAATCAAATTCACCCAGAGAGTGGATTGGTTAAGTTATAGTATTTAAGACACATTTTCAGCTTCCCCTTCTACTTCATCCCTGCTGGTTACCATTGTCTAGGGCAGTGATGGCGAACCTATGACACGCGTGTCAGAGGTAACACATGAACTCATTTTTTTGGTTGATTTTTCTTTGTTAAATGGCATTTAAATATTCTATCTAATAAAAGAGAAACATGGTAATTAGCCGTACCTCCACTACCCTTCCCATTGGCTAATCAGGGCGATATGCAAACTAACTGCCAGCCAAGATGGCGGCCAGCAGCCAGGCAGCTGGAAGCTAACATGAGGCTTGCTTGCTTCAGTGATGGAGGACTCCAACGTTCCCTGCCTGCCTTGCCGGCCTCTGAGCTTGCAGTTTAAAACATTGTAACAAATATAGAAGCTAAACAAAACCCCAGAAACCAGCTTTCAGCCGGCTGGGATCTCAGAGCTGGAGTTGATACAGAGTTTCGAGAACCGAAACAAACCAGATACCTGCTTTCAGGAGCAGAGGCCTAAGAGCTGGAGACTCAGAGCTAAAGCTGGCCCAGAATAAAAAAAAAAAAAAAAGAAAAAAAGGAGCAGTTGGGAGCTTCAGTCCCAGCCTGAAAACAGCCCTCAGCCCCTCACCCAGACTGGCCAGGCACCCCAGTGGGGACCCACACCCTGAAGGGTGTGTGACCAGCTGCAAACAGCCATCATCCCCTCATCCAGGCTGGCCAGGCACCCCAGTGGGGACCCCCACCCTGATCCAGGACACCCTTCAGGGCAAACCAGCCGGCCCCTACCCATGCACCAGGCTTCTGTCCTATATAGTAAAAGGGTAATATGCCTCCCAGCACCGGGATCAGCATGACAGGGGGCAGCGCTCAAACCCCCTGATCGCCCTGCGGCTCTGTGTGTGACAGGGGGCAGGGCCACAACCTCCCTATATGCCCTGCTCTGTTTGTGACATGGGAAGGCGCCCCAAGCCCCTGATCAGCCCTGCTCTGTGCGTGATGGGGGGAGCTCCCCAACCTCCTGATCGGCCCTGCTCTGTGGGTGATAGAGGGCGGTGCCTCACCCCCCCCCCCCCACGGGCCCTGCTCTGTGTGTGATGGGGTAGAGCCATAACCTCCCCATCGGCCCTGCCCTGAGTGTGACAGGGGGCGGTGCCCCAACTCCCCTATCGGCCTTACTCTGTGAGTGACAGGGGGGAGCTCCCCAACCCCCTGATTGGTTCTGCTCTGTGCGTGACATGGGGCAGTGTCCCAACCCCCTGATGGGCCCTGCTCTGTGCGTGACGGGGTGGCACTGCAACCCCCCAATCAGCCCTACCCTGAACATGACTGAGGGTGGCATCGCAACCTCCCAATCCGCCCTTCTCTGTGCATGACAGGGGGCGGCGCCCCAACTGCCCAATCGGCCTTGCTCTGAGCCCGACCAGGGGCTGCACCTAGGGATTGGGCCTGCCCTCTGCCACCCGGGAGCGGGCCTAAGCCAGCAGGTCGTTATCTCCCGAGGGGTCCCAGACTGCGAGAGGGCACAGGCTAGGCTGAGGGATCCCCTCTTCCCCCCGAGTGCACAAATTTTTGTACACCAGGCCTCTAGTATAATATAAATATCAATAATATAAATCTTTGTTTTACTATGGTTGCAAATATCAAAAAATTTCTATATGTGACACGGCACCAGAGTTAAGTTAGGGTTTTTCAAAATGCTGACACGCCGAGCTCTAAAGGTTCACCATCACTGGTCCAGGGACACATTGCCAACCGGAATTTCCTGGTAGCTTGAGATGAAGGGCATTGGGAGTTAATCATGCTTCTTCCCAGCTTGTTCTCTTGTGTGTTTGTCAACTGCATTTTCCATATATGCAGATCTCTGGTTCCT